TGTATTTATATTTCAATAAATGTGTAAACATTTCTAAAAGTATGTTTTCACTTTGTCATTATTGGTTATTGTGTGTAGATGGTTGAGAAAAAACATATATTTAATCCATTTTGAATTCAGGCTGTAACACAACAAGATTTTGAATAAGTAAAGGGGTATGACTACTTCTTGAAAGTACTGTATGTGTGTTAGTGTGAGTGTGTGCATGCATGTGTGGACAGTCATGGCTGTGTGCCCACTTTTTGACTATACCCCTATCTTTCACATGTTCCATTCATGTGTTTGATTGAACACACTTAGTCCATCAAATGTTCCTTTACCATTCACAATGGTGTACCTGCACCACTGGTGTGTCCAGGTGTCAATTAACCAAAAACTGAAAAATTTGAGGAAATGGAGGAAACGTCTCTATATTAGTCATTATGGCAGTAGAGACATATTTAGTTGTACCTGTTTAACTCCCTCCTCCGTTATGAACCCCCTTTCCTTCACTCTGTTCATTTCCTCTGCGGGTGGGAAGATCCATGTTTGGCCGCTGTTCTTCATCCACCGGCCCCACATACGGAAAGCAGCAATCCACAATTAGCATATAAATGGACATCTACATTGAAGAGATTTTAAATGTAAGCCTTATGCTGAGCTAGTGCAGCACATAATTTTATTTTATTTTTTTATTTCACCTTTATTTAACCAGGTAAGCCAGTTGAGAACAGGTTCTCATTTACAACTGCGACCTGGCCAAGATAAAGCAAAGTAGTGCAATAAAAACAACACAGAGTTACATATGGGGTAAAAAAAAACATAAAGTCAGAAATACAACAGAAAATATATATACAGTGTGTGCAAATGTAGCAAGTTATGGAGGTAAGGCAATAAATAGGCTATAGTGCAGAATAATTACAATAGTATTAACACTGGAATGCTAGATGTGCAAGAGATGATGTGCAAATAGAGATACTGGGGTGCAAAAGAGCAAAATAAATAACAATATAGGGATGAGGTAGTTGGGTGGGCTAGTTTCAGATGGGCTGTGTACAGGTGCAGTGATCGGTAAGGTGCTCTGACAACTGATGCTTAAAGTTATTGAGGGAGATAAGAGTCTCCAGCTTCAGAGATTTTTGCAATTCGTTCCAGTCATTGGCAGCAGAGAACTGGAAGGAATGGCGGCCAAAGGAGGTGTTGGCTTTGGGAATGACCAGTGAGATATACCTGCTGGAGCGCAGACTACGGGTGGGTGCTACTATGGTGACCAATGAGCTAAGATAAGGCGGGGATTTGCCTAGCAGTGATTTATAGATGGCCTGGAGCCAGTGGGTTTTGACGACGAACATGTAGTGAGGACCAGCCAACAAGAGCGTACAGGTCACAGTGGTGGGTAGTGTATGGGGCTTTGGAGACAAAACGGATGGCACTGTGATAGACTACATCCAATTTGCTGAGTAGAGTGTTGGAGGCTATTTTGTAAATGACATCGCCGAAGTCAAGGATCGGTAGGATAGTCAGTTTTACGAGGGCATGTTTGGCAGCATGAGTGAAGGAGGCTTTGTTGCGAAATAGGAAGCCGATTCTAGCTTTAACTTTGGATTGGAGATTCTTTATGTGAGTCTGGAAGTTGAGTTTACAGTCTAACCAGACACCTAGATATTTGTAGTTGTCCACATACTCTAGGTCAGACCCGTCGAGAGTGGTGATTCTAGTCGGGTGGGCGGGTGCTAGCAGCGTTCGATTGAAAAGCATGCATTTAGTTTTACTAGTGTTTAAGAGCAGTTGAAGGCTACTGAAGGATTGTTGTATGGCATTGAAGCTCGTTTGGAGGTTTGTTAACACAGTGTCCAATGAAGGGCCAGATGTATACAAAATGGTGTCGTCTGCGTAGAGGTGGATCTGAGAGTCACCAGCAGCAAGAGCGACATCATTGATATACACGGAGAAATCAAGCCAACAAACCTGGAATCTAGAGACAGGAACATGAGAGAATAGACTTTCAGGGTCAGGGAGAAGATCATGTGTGGGTGTGACCATGCATGTTGTTGTTTATACACACACACACAGACACACACACATACACACACACACACACACACACACACACACACACACACACACACACACACACACACACACACCCCTACTCTCTCCCCTCCATACACACCATCCCCCTCAAGTCTGTAATTCAAGAGTCCTCCATCTACCCTGAAATATGTAATTCTTCTCTATCTCCCCTCTGAGGATTGAGAGATTACCGTAAGTGTCTGCCGCTGCTAGGAATATAGGCTGTCGCCCGCGCCCATTATCGATTTTATAATACCGACCGAAGCAATAGCTCGTCATTACACATGCATTTAGATCATATCGTTTATATAACATCCCCTGCTTGGCATTCACATTTTGTATTCACAAATAAAAAAGTTACCTTCAATAAAAGTCCCCACTGTCGGAAATAGAGCTTTGGAGGGACGCGTGGTAGAAACAGAAGCGTGGGGGTTGCTGGTGGTGCAGTGGTTAAACCCCCCTCCAGCCGGATGGGATTACTAATTGTGTGTTGGAGTGTGTGTTTGGCTGTGTGTTGGAGTGTATGTTTGGCTGTGTGTTGGAGTGTGTGTTTGGCTTGTGTGTTTGAGTGTGTGTTTGGCTTGTGTGTTGGAGTGTGTGTTTGACTGTGTGTTGGAGTGTGTGTTTGGCTGTGTGTTGGAGTGTGTGTTTGGCTGTGTGTTGGAGTGTGTGTTTGGCTGTGTGTTGGAGTGTGTGTTTGGCTGTGTGTTGGAGTGTGTGTTTGGCTGTGTGTTTGGAGTGTGTGTTTGGGCTGTGTGTTGGAGTGTGTGTTTGGCTGTGTGTTGCAGTGTGGTGTTTGGCTTGTGTGTTTGAGTGTGTGTTTGGCTTGTGTGTTGGAGTGTGTGTTTGACTGTGTGTTGGAGTGTGTGTTTGGCTGTGTGTTGGAGTGTAGGTTTGGCTGTGTGTTTGGAGTGGTGTGTTTGGCTGTGTGTGGTGAGGTGTGTTTGGCTGTGTGTTGGAGTGTGTGTTTGCTGTGTGTTTGCAGTGTGTGTTTGCTGTGTGTTGGAGGTTTTTTGTTTTGGCTGTGTGTTGGAGTGTTGTTTTGGGTGTGTGTTGGAGTGTTGTTTTGGTCGTGTGTTGGAGTGTGTGTTTGGAAGTGTGTGTTGGAGTGTGGTGTGGTTGGCTGTGTGTTGGAGTGTGTGTTTGGCTGTGTGTTGGAGTGTGTGTTTGGCTGTGGTGTTGCAGTGTGTGTTTGGTGTGTGTTGGATGTGTGTTTGGTGTGTGTTGGAGTGTTTGTTTGGTGTGTGTGTTGGAGTGTGTGTTTTGGCTGTGTGTTGTGAGTGGGGGTTTGGCTGTGTGTTGGCGTGTGGTTTGTTTGGATGTGTGTTGGAGTGTGTGTTTGGCTGTGTGTTGGAGTGTGTTGTTTGGCTGTGTGTTGGAGTGTGTGTTGGTTTGTGTGTGGGTGTGGTGGCTGTGTGTTGGAGTGGTGTGTTTGGCTGTGTGTTGGAGTGTGTGTTTGGCTGTGTGTTTGGAGTGGTGTTTGGTGTGTGTTGGGATGCGTGTGTTTGTGTGTGTTGGAGTGTGTGTTTGGCTGTGTGTTGGAGTGTGTGTTTGGCTGTGTGTTGGAGTGTGTGTTTGGCTGTGTGTTTTGTGCACTCCTCTTCCTCTCCCACTGCTTCTACTACAGGACTCAGACTGTGCGTGTGAGAGAGTAATCTCTCGTGGACAGAGGCATGTAAAATAAATGGTATTAGCCTCTGTCAACAGACTGTGGGAATGCGACGACTAACAAGGAACTTTGTTCCGGTATGCTGATTCTTTGGCACTGATCATTTGGACAAATCACGATTTTGCAGGTGCTCTTATCTTTCGAATTTCGGAAGGGGAGGGGACGTTTGGCTCATAGACTAGCCTGAAACGTGCATAGTATCTTTCGCGTTAGTATCTTTCTCCTAACATCTCCCCCCAGAACTTACTCAAGCATTTTACGCAATTATGCAAGATTTTAGTTCTGGGATTAGTGAAACGTGATTCAGGTGGGGGCTGCAGTGCGTGCTGAGGTAATTTGGAAGTAAGAGAGAAGCAGATTTCCTTGACAGAAAAGACTCTTAAGGCTGTTGGTTCCCTGGTGGGATGTGTTTGTGGCCAGGGATATGGTATAATTGGCCCCTTGCGGTGTAGTGACACAGTGTGTTACCTGTGCTAGGATGTTCCCTTCTTTGTTCCTGTGAGGGTGGAGCTCCTCTAGGTTGACTGTACAGTACAGAATGTTGCTTTATGTTTAGGAAATGGATAGTTGCAGTAGAGTAGTAGTCTGCACTGTAAAATAAGGATGCCATAGCATTTATGACTATTGTTATCTTAGATCACTGCAATGGCTGTAGTAGGTTTTAGTAGCATAAACTCTAAAAGGTTTTAGTAGCATAACTATCAGGTTAAGGTACTGTAGTGTCAGGTCATTGAGTGTATGGTAGTTGACTGCAGTATGAGGGCTGTAGCAGCAGTCTTTCTTATTGATTGTTGATGTTCATAGTGCAATGTAGCTATACCAAGTGTGTGTGTGTGGGGTATTTGGGGTCCAACTTCCACTCTGGCAGAGCTGATACACTCTCTGGAGAAGCTCAGGGTGCTGTAGCTCAATAGCGCCAACACACACACACATACTCACACACACACACACACACACACACACACACACACACACACACACACACACACACACACACACACACACACACACACACACACACACACACACACACACACACAAACAACACACACACACACACACACACACACACACACACACACACACACACACACACACACACACACACTGTCTCGCCTTCTTCTCATACTGAACACAAGCATGCACAGAGCAGACATATTGTGGAGGGCAGTCGTGGATAGAAAGCCCTTTAATCTTGTCTGTCTTTACACATAGAAACACAATCTCTAACACATATTCTCTGTCATCTCATGCCTCTGTTGTTTGCCCCCCTCCTCAGGACGACATCTACATGTATGGGGGGAAGCTGGAGGCCGGTTCAGGCAACGTGACAGACGAGCTGTGGGTCTTTAACATCCCTAGTCGTACTTGGTCCCTGAGGACCCCGAGCAGCCTGGTCCAGGGACAGCCCTACGCCGTGGAGGGACACTCCGCCCACCTGGCTGAACTGACCAATGGGGACCTGGTGATGGTGGTCATCTTCGGATACTCACCCGTCTACAGCTACATCAGCAAAGTGCAGGAATACAACATCAGTAGGTCCAAGAATGGAGAGATGGATGGATGGATGGATGGATGGATGGATGGATGGATGGGTGGGTGGGTGGGTGGATGAATCAAATGAATGAGTGAATGAAGTCTGTCTAGCCACATACTGTTTCCCTCCCTCCATCTATCCATCTATCCATTCATTGATCTCTCTTGTCTGTCTTCTTAACCAATTGATTTGTCTCAGTCTGACGTTAATCAATCAGTCCACTAGCCCACTGATGAGTCCACCCTCCATTAGCCTGCTATATATCTGAGGCAAGATAATCAGATAATTGGGTTATTAAGTGGGGTTAACAGCCATGATGAATAATCCACATGAATGAATTCAGATTTACATCCCATATACAGTGGGGAAAAAAAGTATTTAGTCAGCCACCAATTGTGCAAGTTCTCCCACTTAAAAAGATGATAGAGGCCTGTAATTTTCATCATAGGTACACGTCAACTATGACAGACAAAATGAGGAAAAAAAATCCAGAAAATCACATTGTAGGATTTTTAATGAATTTATTTGCAAATTATGGTGGAAAATAAGTATTTGGTCAATAACAAAAGTTTCTCAATACTTTGTTATATACTCTTTGTTGGCAATAACACAGGTCAAATGTTTTCTCTAAGTCTTCACAAGGTTTTCACACACTGTTGCTGGTATTTTGGCCCATTCCTCCATGCAGATCTCCTCTAGAGCAGTGATGTTTTGGGGCTGTTGCTGTGCAACACGGACTTTCAACTCCCTCCAAAGATTTTCTATGGGGTTGAGATCTGGAGACTGGCTAGGCCACTCCAGGACCTTGAAATGCTTCTTACGAAGCCACTCCTTCGTTGCCCGGGCAGTGTGTTTGGGATCATTGTCATGCTGAAAGACCCAGCCACGTTTCATCTTCAATGCCCTTGCTGATGGAAGGAGGTTTTCACTCAAAATCTCACGATACATGGCCCCATTCATTCTTTCCTTTACACGGATCAGTCGTCCTGGTCCCTTTGCAGAAAAACAGCCCCAAAGCATGATGTTTCCACCCCCATGCCTCACAGTAGGTATGGTGTTCTTTGGATGCAACTCAGCATTCTTTGTCCTCCAAACACGACGAGTTGAGTTTTTACCAAAAAGTTCTATTTTGGTTTCATCTGACCATATGACATTCTCCCAATCCTCTTCTGGATCATCCAAATGTACTGGACATGTACTGGCTTAAGCAGGGGGACACGTCTGGCACTGCAGGATTTGAGTCCCTGGCGACGTAGTGTGTTACTGATGGTAGGCTTTGTTACTTTGGTCCCAGCTCTCTGCAGGTCATTCACTAGGTCCCCCCGTGTGGTTCTGGGATTTTTGCTCACCGTTCTTGTGATCATTTTGACCCCACGGGGTGAGATCTTGCGTGGAGCCCCAGATCGAGGGAGATTATCAGTGGTCTTGTATGTCTTCCATTTCCTAATAATTGCTCCCACAGTTGATTTCTTCAAACCAAGCTGCTTACCTATTGCAGATTCAGTCTTCCCAGCCTGGTGCAGGTCTACAATTTTGTTTCTGGTGTCCTTTGACAGCTCTTTGGTCTTGGCCATAGTGGAGTTTGGAGTGTGACTGTTTGAGGTTGTGGACAGGTGTCTTTTATACTGATAACAAGTTCAAACAGGTGCCATTAATACAGGTAACGAGTGGAGGACAGAGGAGCCTCTTAAAGAAGAAGTTACAGGTCTGTGAGAGCCAGAAATCTTGCTTGTTTGTAGGTGACCAAATACTTATTTTCCACCATAATTTGCAAATAAATTCATTAAAAATCCTACAATGTGATTTTCTGGATTATTTTTTCTCAATTTGTCTGTCATAGTTGACGTGTACCTATGATGAAAATTACAGGCCTCTCTCATATTTTTAAGTGGGATAACTTGCATAATTGGTGGCTGACTAAATACTTTTTTTCCCCACTGTATACCCGGTGACAGATTTAGAGTGTTGCAAAATAGGCAAAGAGACAGCAACACCCACAGATGACCGCAGCAACGTTGGATTCATTTCATGGTACTGAAAGATGAATACATTGTTGTTGGGGTCATCTTTGGGTGTTACTGTCACTCATCTATTTATGGAAGGCTCAGGATCTTTTATGTGTACCCAGATAACTATCTTTTCCCATTAAATTATTTTTTTGTAGCACCATTACCTGCATAGTACTCTGTAGCAGTCTTATTCTTATGATGGCTAGTACACTTACTGTCTATAAACAGACACTTATACACTCCACAGTACCTTTAAGGTTATCCTCTTTTTTTGTAAGATTTGATCTTTTATAAACAATACGAAACATACACATACAAATGACAACATCATACAAACATCAACTACATCACACCTGCCCAGACCCAATAGCACACACCCCCATCTCCAGCGCCCGCATCACTTTCCGCCACATGACCTGAAACGGCACCATTTTGTTTCTCTCCGTAGCCCACGCACTTTCAATATTTAAATTACAAATGTTTCCATTGTGTTATTGATGGCGGATTGATTGATTTCCAAGTTTTTAGTATATGTTTTTTAAAGACGATCGATAAGAAGAGAATCGTCCAACCCATCGGGTATCTCACTACACCCCCCTATGCCATGTCTCGAAATACGCAGACAGACGGATTAAAAGTACGTTTACATTGTAATACTTCTGACAGCCAACATTCTAACTCTGCCCACAACTTCTGGACTTCATAGCATTCCCAGAAAGCATGGATTATTGAGTCATTATTAGTTTTACTCTTAAGACATGGCCTCTGCCGTTGTGCTGTAGAATTTGTGAATTAAAATTTATAAAAATGTGTCTATACATTAGTTTATACTGGATTAAGCGTACATTTCCGTTAACTGTCATTTCGTTAGTTATGCTCCAACATTCCCTCCATCTTGGGCCAACATCAGTTCTTTTTAAGTCTTGGTTCCAATAGTTTATATTTTTTCTAAGAGATTGTCAGTTGGATATGCTCTCTGCACGGTTTTGTATATCTTCCCTATCATATGAACATCCTTTTCTGACTCAAATGAGGTTATCCTCTTGACTGCATTAGAGTCAAGGTCATTTAACCAGAGCTAGTGACCACTGTGGAACACCTAGGTTTTCATACCAGCAGATGGCGCTAAGCTACAGTGTTTTGAGGAGTAACAATCAGGCGAATGCCTGCATTATAAAGCATTTCAGCCTATAGGAGACTCAAAGGCAGACAGAGGCAGGACAGCTCACTGCAGCCCAGTCCAGCCACATTAAAGCCTGTGGAGAGAGCTTAAGAGGGAGGGATAGAGAGGGGACATCTACAGTGTTGGAGGCTGGTTCCCAACTCCAGTCCTCAAATACCTCCAATAGCACACAAAAAACACCTGATTCAACTCTCTGGTCATTAAGAGGAGGTGGCACCTTGGCAAGACCATCTGGGAGAAGACGATAATTAATGTGTCTGAGTTCTACTGGAATCTCACTTTATTACCTCCTTCTCTCCCTGCCCCTCATCTCTCTCCCCTCCCCTCACCTCTCCCGCCCTCATATCTGTCTCCCCTATCTCTTTCTCTCCATCTCAAACTAGTCCCCCCCCCCCTCTCTCTATCTCTCTGCAAGCAAATATTGTGATATTTCATCAAATTTAGAGAGTTGAGTGTCATCATTCAGAGTGTTGAGTCTACCTTTTAGGTGACTGACTGTAAGTGAAAGCAAGAAGGAAATAGATCATAAAAAAGCTCATCTGACAAACTGTAAGTAAACTATTTGACCTTCCCCCATTATCTACTTTTCACTTTCTCTATTTCCCTTCACTTGTGGGAGTTGGGAGGTCTGCTTCTCAGTGTATCCACATGCTCCGTGGCCTCCCCCTCTCTCCATCCCTCCCTCCATCTGTCACAAGGGGACTTGAAGTACATGGTGGAGCAGCCCGCTGGCTTGGTCTGGCTACCAGAGTCAGCCTTTTACACACACTCTCATTTGACATACCCAGGCACGCACACTCACGAGCATGGACACTTATTTTCCATACTGTATGTCTCAAAGCTGATCCAATCATGTTGGCCCACTCACACTAAGATGCACTTCTCTTCTGCCTCTCTGTCACACAGGGACAAACTACTGGCAGGTCCCTGAGACCAACGGGGCCATCGTCCAGGGTGGCTATGGCCACAGCAGTGTGTATGATAGCTCAAGCAGGTGTGTGTACGTCCACGGGGGCTACAAGGCCCTGCCTGCCAACAAGTATGGCCTGGTGGACGAGCTGTATCGCTATGAGGTGCAGACACGGACCTGGTGAGTGGTATTAGGTTGGCAGAAAGTGTCTGTCTGTCTGTCTGCCTGCCTGCCTGCCTGCCTGCCTGCCTGCCTGCCTGCCTGCCTGCCTGCCTGCCTGTCTGTCTGTCTGTCTGTCTGTCTGTCTGTCTGTCTGTCTGTCTGTCTGTCTGTCTGTCTGTCTGTCTGTCTGTCTGTCTGTGTCTGCCTGCCTGTCTGTGTCTGCCTGCCTGCCTGCCTGTCTGCCAGGCTGTCTGTCTGTCTGCCTGCCTGCCTGCCTGCCTGCCTGTCTGTCTGTCTGTCTGTCTGTCTGCCTGCCTGCCTGTGTCTGTCTGTCTGCCTGTCTGTCTATCTGTCTGTCTCTCTGTCTGTCTCTCTGTCTCTCTGTCTCTGTCTCTCTGTCTGTGTTTGTGCTTGTATCATCAGATGCATATGCACTTGAGAGTTCACAAGCTGTGTCAATTTACCAGTCCTGAGAAAACTGTGTGTAAAATAAGCCTATTTTCCCCAGTGCCCCAGTAGCAAAATGCATTTATTTGCTAAATGTACAGACATTTGGCGTCTTACATGAGGTAGATGTTTAACACAGAGATGCTTGTCTTGCCTGTGTTCAGACACTGTGTCTAGACACTCAGTGCTGGACAGCTGAAATGCAGATTTGACACAGCACACTAATATTTACAATTTTGTCATTTAGCAGACACTCTTATCCAGAGCGACTTACAGTTAGTGAGTGCATACATTTTTCATACTGGCCCCCCATGGGAATCGAACCCACAACCCTGGCGTTGCAAGCGCCATGCTCTACCAACTGAGCTACAGGAGGCTCCTAATAGTCAGCATTGTGTTGTGAGGAGATACACATATGTCCACGTACTTAGACACTCAGCGCCAAACACATGACCATACAGCGCATACTGGAAAGATACAGAAGGATTAGCTAGAGAGATTCACAGTGAAGCAGAGATTGTATAAATAGGGTGATATGAAAGGAGGAGAGTGACCTCCACTGAACCTTGACAGATGGGTGGGCGACAGAGGAACGTACACCCTTTCAATCTCCCCCCTCTCTCTCACTGTTTCTCTGTCTATCCAGACTGTGACATATCCCTTGGGTTTGACAGTGGCCAGTGTCTGTCTGCATGGCCGGTGTCTGTCTGTCTGGCTGTTGTTCCTCAACAGGAGTTCTGTCTGTCTTTCATGTCTGATGTCAGTTGTATATTCACTGGTAACTTATTGAGGTAGTTGATGTGCCCTCTTGCCAAAGCTTGCTGACACATAGCTCACAGTTTATTGCAATCCGTCCATTTATTTACAGTCGGTAGGTTGAGTGTACACTGAGGCTACTTAGGCAGATGTCTTTGTGTGTTGGAATGGGATCGTCAAACCCTCTCAGAACTATGAAGTCTGTAAAACCCTAGATACTCTATCTGTATCTATGGATAGTACAGTTGGCGCTTAAGCAGACGGTGGGGACTGTGCACTTTGACCATAGCAGAGGAGAGGATGGGAGGTGGCAGATTGGGCTCTGAAATATTCCTGTAGAGTTTTGTGTGTGTGTGTGTCCATGGTGCCACATGATTGATGATGTCTGTCTGGATATTTGACCTGGCCTATGGAGAGTGACCTTCAGACCAACTGTTCCCTTACATAAGCCACGTGACCCAGACTGGAGTACACACTGCTGTAATCAACACCCAGGGATGGGCACACACGCACGCACACACACATGCATGCACGCACACACACTCTCATAAATGACACATTAACACATTAACATGGTGACTGTGTATGTGTGTGTGTGTGTTGACAGGATGATCCTGAGAGAGAGTGGTCTGGCGCGGTACCTCCACACTGCAGTGCTGAGCAATGGTGCTCTGCTGGTGTTTGGAGGAAACACCCACAACGACACGTCACTCAGTAATGGAGCCAAGTGCTTCTCGGCTGACTTCCTGGCCTACGACATAGGTAAGGACCAATCATATGCATACAGACAAATCATAGGGAACAACCATCCCCCTCCTCACCTGTTGTTGGTATGATGCAATGTTTTGAAAATACTATATTTGACACCTTTGTGCTGAAAATATAAGTTACCAGTTTCAACCTCCAGGCATATGATACAGGTATAAATGTTACATACTCAATACATATACTAACATAGTTAAGTATAACCAACCCACACCCCCTACCATACAATACCACACATACCCTCCATCCAGACATCATACATGTGATGTTCATTATCACAAGCATGCGACCACCCACCCACTCCCATCAGGGTTGACCCCTGACCCCTAAAGCCACAGTTGTCATTTGTCATTTTCCAGTGTTAGCCGCCTCCCAGGCCTGGACCCACACAGATCACACAGACACACAGTGAGTGTAACCAAAGAAGAACTGGCAGGTGACATTCTGCAGCCTTAGGGAAAGTGTGTTCACTGACCTTTGACCTCAACAAACAACAGCATTAGCCCTAGCCTGTTATGAAAGTCAAGTGGAAGTGTAAAGCTAAGATACCTTTCCATAGTGGTGAATGCACAGCCCTAATTACCTGAGATAGAAGATCACATTCTGTTGTAACAGTGACAGTAGACATCCTTTAAAAAGTGGAACTAGCCCTCAACCAAAAGCTAGTCATAACCACTCAAGATTAGGGCTGTGGCGGTAATTACAATTTGTTAGCCAGTTATTGTCATGCAAATGACTGCCGGACTCACGGTAATTGGCCGTTAATTAACATAAACATGTTTAGCATCTCCAGGCCTCCACGCATACAAGTCGCTGATGCGCGCCTTTAGAACATCTACATTTTTTAAAAGTATAATAAATCAATTTAATAAATAACACAATAAACCATTATTTATTTTAGACCGGTCTAAAGAAACATTATAATATGAAGAAAATCTATTTAAGAAGAACCGAATATGAGTTGGCCTACTGTATGTTATCTGGCTATGCGCCATGCCATAGGCTGTAGGCTAGTTCATTTAGCAGACAAGATGTCCTTATGAGTCCTGTGCCATTATTTTATATTATATGATTTAATTGTAAGAATAATATAATTGAACTTAGCTGAATAAAATAGAAAGGATATTTTTCCCATTTCTGAGCGAGTGCGGATATGAAGTGGCTATGTTGAACGTAAAAGTGATCGTTTGAAACAGGTCATATACACTTGAGTTAGAGTACTTTGGCAACTTTAGTTGTGAATGATACAAAGCTTAGAATGTCTTAGAAATCAAAACATTAATGGACTGCATGATGCGACTATAGGTTATTGACTATTTGAAAAGGTTGCAAAAAGACCTCCCGAGTGGTGCAGCAGTCTGAGGCACTGCATCGCAGTGTTGCGGCATCACTACAGCCTGGGGTTCGATCCCAGGCTGTGTCATAACCGGCTGTGACCGGGAGTCCTATAGGGCGGTGTACAATTGGCCCAGCGTCGTCCAGGTTAGGACGATGCTGGGCCAGCGACTCCTTGTGGTGGGCCGGGCGCCTGCAGGCTGACTTCGGTCGTCAGTTTGAACGGTGTTTCTTCCGACACATTGGTGCGGCTGGCTTCTGGGTTAAGCGGGCTTGTGTTAAGAAGCGGGGCTTGGCGGGTCATGTTTCGGAGGACGCATGACTCGACCTTTGCCTCTCCCGAGCCCGTTGGGGAGTTGCAGCAATGAGACAAGATCATAATCACGAAATTGGGGAGAAAAAAGGGGTAAAACAAGAGTGTGCAAAGCTGTCATCAAGGCAAAGGGTGGCTACTTAGAAGAATATAAAATATATTTTGATTTTTTTAACGCTTTTTTGGTTACTGCATGATTCCATATGTGTTATTTCATAGTTTTGATGTCTTCACTATTATTCTACAATGTAAAAAAATAAAAAAATAAAGAAAAACCCTTGAATGAGTAGGTGTGTCCAAACTTTTGAGTGGTAGTGTATATGCATATGGATGTTCTACATGCAACATCCTAAATGCTTTTAATTAATCATCACCTTAGAAAGCGCTGTCCATTTCGTTGTGTTTGGCTTTGAAACAACATCCACAATGACCATGTTTTCCACTCAGTTTCAACCTGTTGTTGAACTTCTTTCTTCAAAATTGATCATCACAGTGAGGTCAAAACATTTTGCCTAACGGTGAGTTTTTAAAGCATGATACTGTTTTGATGTTAATTGTTTGATGTGGCGGCAGGTAGCTTAGTGGTTAAGAGTGTTGTGCCAGTAACCGAAAGGTCACTGGTTCTAATCCCCGAGCCGACTAGGTGAAAAATCTGTCGATGTGCCCTTGAGCAAGGCACTTAACCCTAATTGCTCCTGTAAATCGCTCTGGATAAGAGCGTCTGCTAAATGACAAAAAAACTAAAACATCTGAGTTTCGATTTCATTTACATTGATGTCAGAGTGGTTACAGGGACAAAAGAGCGCTGAGTACCAGGCCATTAGCGACCTGATGTTCTTTAGCGAGTTGGGTACTACCAACGCATGTCCAGAGTGCATAAAAGGAGATTACCGTGACTCAACGGTCACATGGAATTTCACTGCGGTCATGACTCATGACTGCTGGTGTGACGGTAATACGGTCACTGCAACAGTCCTGCTCATGATCGACTCTTCATTACCCCCTGGTCAGGTAAAGTTATTTTGCCCTCCTCTTTGGAGTTAGTAAGCTATCCTCTGCAAGATATAAAAGGGTGGTTTAGTACTAAAGGTTTAGAGGTGTGCGTGTGCATGTGTGTGCATGTGTGTGCCACCCTGTGTGTGTGTTTAGACTACCTGGGTTTTTACATGAGATCTCGTGATGTGAGTTACAGCTCACCTTTCAGTGCTGACAGTAATACAGTGGGGATCATTAACGCCCCATAAAGAGCTGCAGAATGGGAGCCGGCCAGATGGCGTCTGCTCTTTTATGAATATTTGTTTTGAATAAAGTGGCTCTGCAGGGGCATTACAGGACATGCTGAGCACAGGGAGGGAGGCAAGCGAGGAAGAGAAGGATGCAGGGAGAAAGGGATGGAGGGAGATGGAGAGGAGTAAGCTAAAGGAGGTGAGGACTGAGGGAGATAAAACAGGAGTAAGGCTTTTTAGATGGAAATCGAGAAAGTGGTTTTACAAAGCCCCAGTAGTTGTTGCATCCATCAGATTCTCAGTCACATTTGATGTCAAATCATATCAGATGCAACAAGAGTCCTACCCTATCAAAACACAGTAAATGTTTGTTTACATGTTCCCATATCACAACTCAGCAGAGGTATAGGGTCTCCCCTTACTAAACAAATCAAATAATTTATTCATCAATACTCCGTCCTCAAATCTCTACAGCCAGCCCTTCCCTGACTCTGTTCACCAGCCACCCTTCACAAATTTTACTGCACTGAGAGAGGAGGGGAGGGTTGATGGATAAATTAAAAGAGAGAGAGAGTGAGACAAAATAAATAGCAAGATTGGGACAAGAGAGAGAAAGAGGAGACAACATTAAGTCAATGAGTCATTCAAGTACTAGATGTGGTAATACATTCAAATAAAGAAAATACATTAAAGAATAACGTTTATGTGCTAATTAGAAGTTGTAGCCAATCCAGATAAGGACAAGATGTTTGAAGAACGTTGAAGAACTTGACTATAGCTTCCAAGCCTTCTCCTGCAGTCATGGAGGGTCACTGCTCCACTCTCATTCTTATTCATTTAAATAGCCAGTCCAATCACCCTGAGTAGGCCACTCCAAGGGATAAAAAGTCCAATGTCACTTTTATAATCCGAAAGCGACTGATTGTTTTATGTTCAAGGTGGTAGGCTAGACTGATGCTTGGCTTGGGGAGTGTGGTCTAGACTCTTCACTCAAGCCCAGGCAAGACCAATCTCTGTGATTGAAGCGCCGTTATACAGACCAGTGTTTGGCCAGACATGGCCTCTTGGCGACCTGTCATTCATTATAGTCCCTGAGGACTGGGTTGTCACTGGACATTGTTGACTAATTTCATTATAAAGCCAAATTAACAATCTCCATTATCATCCTCTTATAGAGAGAAAAGGTTTATGGAAGGCATTTTCCCTGTATTGTTTTTACAATAATGGAACAATTTGACATTTTGGTTATAAATCATGCCTGAACCTAGACCAAAACTTAGCTATAGTGAATGATGCTTCTTACTCAAGTAATGCTGAAAGACATTGTAGCCTACTACAGTACATATGAGATGTGTCAACAGCACTTCAAGTGCTAACAGGTTTCTCTAGTTGAATGTGTTAAAAGTCTCATTTATTAGTTAATGGACTGATATGACTTCCTCTCGTCTCCGCTCCTCTCTCTTTGAGCTAATTAATTAGTTCCACCTGTGGAAGAGGCCTCACTCTACCGCACCCTCTCTCCATCGGCCCCGCCACGCACGCTGAGAGACGGTTTTAAGCGCTAATTTGTTTTTGTTTTTCTCCGCTAACCTTGGAGGGGGAGCGCGTTATTAGCTTTTTGTGTTTTTCTTCTACGAGAGATTTAATACAGGTCGACACAGATGGCAGATGCCCCCCCCCCCCTCATTACCCCATCTTCATACTTCTAATTAGATTTGGGGGAAATGAAATCTAATTAAAAATGTTTTGTCCCCACACCCCCTGAAAGGCAACTGGCAGCGCCGTCTTCAACAAGAGTGACCTGTTTATATTGGAGCTCTAGACAGTGTCTCTCAAAGCGGCCCCCGAACACAAAAACACATTTCATTAAGTTTGCCATTTGAATGAGTATGATTTCCCCATCACTCTCGACTGGTGCAGATTTGGTCTGCTGATTCTCCTGTCATCTCCCTCTGTCTACCTGTACATTATTCATGGTTCCTCTGCCAATTTCCTGGGAGGAAATGAAATAGGGGGACCGTTGTGATAAGTATCAGGAATTGTCATTATAGAGAGTCATCTCTATCTCCAGTACACCTCAGTTGGTTGGAAGACCCATTGGGCTGTCTGTCAGTGCATGTCTGGGGTATGGATTCACTCTAGCTCCAGGCGTCAGGATAGGTAGTAGGCCTCCAATTTAACTACTGGTGGTCTGTCACAAATACTTATTTTGGTCTGTCCCCTTAGCCACCGCATCACCTATGCACATCTCTATCTTATGCGACTATCAAAAAGTACTGTAGGTCTGAGTCTGACCAGCTGAGAGAGAGCATTAGAATGATTGACATAAAAACCTGATCACACCATGACCCTGTCAGAGAGCCCCTTGGTCTTTAGGAAGGGATTAAAGCGCCTTCTGATCTGGACTGGTGTTGTTGACTTGTCTTTTCCTTTAAACGCGGTCCCAATTAGCCAAGCACTTGCGTGGTCGTTTGCAACCTGGCTGCACATTTAACTCCCAAGCACAGTTTATATTGGACAACTCATCTGGGTAAATGGGACATTTACATATTAATGCAACAGTGGACTTGTGGGTTGTAAAGCGTCAGAAAGCTGTAAAATGAAATGCTAAAATACACGATCGTGATTGCTCTTAGAACCATTACTCTGTACCACAGACTAGAATCCCCAACAGACAAGATCAATGGATGAATAAACTGGTTTATGAAGTCATATTCAGAGGCGGCTACATAATAAACAATTCAAATACATTATGTTAAGAGGTTGGCGTTTATACTCTCCGAGGATCCCACTAACAGTGAGGAAACTGAACGTTGTACTCTCTCAATGTAACATTGATTTGGCGCGTGATATTGACAAAGTGAAGAAATCGACTTTGCCTACTATCATTTTCTCTCTGTTATTATTTGTTTGCTCTGAGCAGATTGGTAGATAATCACTGACAGACAAATTGTCTAGCTACATTGTGGGCTGTGTTGTCAGAGCTGCTCCAGGTAGACTTGTTGTAGCCTACCCATGGATCAGTGCGGTTCCTGACCATGGTCCTAGGAGATTGGTAATCAAACTACCATTAAGGGCCTGTGTGCCCGCCACCACCACCACTACCCTAGAATTGTCTAATAGCAGCTGCAGTGGATTCAACTTTAATGATGGTTATTCATGCAATCGTAAAAGGCATATTTTCTAGCTGCAGTTAGTTGTTTATGATGGCCCTGTTTCTAGGGTATGACCCCTAGTGCTCTGCTATGCTGACACACAGTGTTAATCACTGCTGGGCTTGACACACCCAGCCCTACAGCCAAGGGGACCATGATATTCATACAGGCCAATCTCCACAGCCTCTGTCCACAGGATTCTCATATAATGTGTTAATAATGTAGAGTTGACACTTCCATTGTAGATTGTATGTGTGTGCAACAGTGCAGATGGGGTGTGTGTGTGTGTGTGTGTGTGCGTGTGTGTGCATGTGTGTGTACGTGCGCCCGTGTGTGTGTGTGTGTGTGTGTACCCAGTCTCAGGTCTCACAGATATTCTGTCTCAGTGGCCCTGGAACCTCTTCTGTGTTTCAGTATGTACAGTAGGGTGGTATGGTACAGGCCTACTGAAATGAAATCCAGGCAAAAAGGAACACTGGTTTTCCCCTGTTGCTAAGTAATGGACCTGGGTTAATTGCCAAATTAAAAAGTGTGAAGCAGAGAGAGACGGGCAAATTGGGTGGGCTGTAGAGAACAAATGCCAAGGAGCTCAGATTACCTGGCTACATAATATAAAGATAAAGACCTTCAATTCAAAACTCAATCTGGGGTCCAGAGGGTTGCCTGTCACGGTTGCTTGGGTGATAGTATGAGTATGATATGGAGGGAGAGTTGCAGTAAGTAGCCAGAACAGCTCATAAGGCAGGAGCTCTCATTTTGCTGTAGCATGAGGCAGCTTGACGTACAAGTACACCCCCCTGGACAGGACGCTAGTCTATCGTAGGGCCTTTCTAGTCTATCGTAGGGCCACTCTTTCTCCTTAATGCTGAGTGCCAAGCAGAGACGCATCAGGACCCATTTTTACAGTGTTTGGTATGACTCACAACCTTCCAATCTCAGGGCGGACACTCTAACCACAAGGACACTGAGTTGGTCTAGAGTCGCAGTGGAGGTGTCATTTCTGGGTATTGCGGTTGAGTGCTTGACCCTACACAAGATGATACAAGTTACAACGTTTCTACTGAAGCAAAAACTGATCACTATGTGCATGTTTGTTCTTTTCAGCTTGTGATGAATGGAAAGTCCTGCCCAGGCCAGATCTCCACCGTGTTGTCAACCGCTTTGGCCACACCTCCGTCATCAGCAATGGGTCAGTCACTCACATTCAGTATATTGCCCCTCCGTTACTTGGTATTCTCGCAGTTTCCTGACATCAGTTTCCGCAGTGTTCCTGGTAATGATGTGTACTCTGAGTATTTCCTGCGTTGTGTTCTCGGTAACACTTTATTTGGATAGTCCATCTGTAGATGCTCTACAGACTATCAGTAACATTTCAACTATCTACTAACCCTGACCTTAACCCATATCCTAACCCTATACGTAACCCTTACCCCAGCCCTAACTCTAACCTTAACCTTAACCCTTACCCTAAACCTTATTTTTAGCCTAACGCTAACCCTAACCATGACCTTAGCAAGCAGTTGCTTATCAACAGATTGTTTGTTGATGGTATGACCATTTGCAGAGCATCTACAGATGGATTATCCAAATAAAGTGTGATCGTGTTCTCTCCCCAGGTCCATGTATGTGTTTGGAGGCTTCTCTGGTGTGCTGCTGAATGACGTGCTGGTCTACACTCCTCCCAGCTGCCAGGCCTTCAGTGAGGAGCAGCGCTGTGCCAACGCTGGCCCTGGTATCCGCTGTGTCTGGCTTAGGGACCACTGTGTCCCCTGGGACACCGGCCATGCCAACGGCAGCGTGCCCGCTCCCTTCTGCCCCACACGCACCAGTATGTGTTGCATGATATTGCTCTGTATTCACCATAGGATACGTGTGTTGACATGTTTTTATCTGTATATTTGTCATGGGGGAGGGATAATTTCGACTTCCCTCTTTGGTAGTTAACTGACTAATGGATACAGTTGGGAAAAAAAGTATTTAGTCAGCCACCAATTGTGCAAGTTCTCCCACTTAAAAAGATGAGAGAGGCCTGTAATTTTCATCATAGGTACACGTCAACTATGACAGACAAAATGAGAAAAAATTACATTATAGGATTTTAATGAATTTATTTGCAAATTATGGTGGAAAATAAGTATTTGGTCAATAACAAAAGTTTCTCAATACTTTGTTATATACCCTTTGTTGGCAATGACACAGGTCAAACGTTTTCTGTAAGTCTTCACAAGGTTTTCACACACTGTTGCTGGTATTTTGGCCCATTCCTCCATGCAGATCTCCTCTAGAGCAGTGATGTTTTGGGGCTGTCGCTGGGCAACACGGACTTTCAACTCCCTCCAAAGATTTTCTATGGGGTTGAGATCTGGAGACTGGCTAGGCCACTCCAGGACCTTGAAATGCTTCTTACGAAGCCACTCCTTCGTTGCCCGGGCAGTGTGTTTGGGATCATTGTCATGCTGAAAGACCCAGCCACGTTTCATCTTCAATGCCCTTGCTGATGGAAGGAGGTTTTCACTCAAAATCTCACGATACATGGCCCCATTCATTCTTTCCTTTACACGGATCAGTCGTCCTGGTCCCTTTGCAGAAAAACAGCCCCAAAGCATGATGTTTCCACCCCCATGCTTCACAGTAGGTATGGTGTTCTTTGGATGCAACTCAGCATTCTTTGTCCTCCAAACATGACGAGTTGAGTTTTTACCAAAAAGTTATATTTTGGTTTCATCTGACCATATGACATTCTCCCAATCCTCTTCTGGATCATCCAAATGCACTCTAGCAAACTTCAGACGGGCCTGGACATGTACTGGCTTAAGCAGGGGGACACGTCTGGCACTGCAGGATTTGAGTCCCTGGCGGCGTAGTGTGTTACTGATGGTAGGCTTTGTTACTTTGGTCCCAGCTCTCTGTAGGTCATTCACTAGGTCCCCCCGTGTGGTTCTGGGATTTTTGCTCACCGTTCTTGTGATCATTTTGACCCCATGGGGTGAGATCTTGCGTGGAGCCCCAGATCGAGGGAGATTATCAGTGGTCTTGTATGTCTTCCATTTCCTAATAATTGCTCCCACAGTTGATTTCTTCAAACCAAGCTGCTTACCTATTGCAGATTCAGTCTTCCCAGGCTGGTGCAGGTCTACAATTTTGTTTCTGGTGTCCTTTGACAGCTCTTTGGTCTTGGCCATAGTGGAGTTTGGAGTGTGACTGTTTGAGGTTGTGGACAGGTGTCTTTTATACTGATAACAAGTTCAAACAGGTGCCATTAATACAGGTAACGAGTGGAGGACAGAGGAGGTTCTTAAAGAAGAAGTTACAGGTCTATGAGAGCCAGAAATCTTGCTTGTTTGTAGGTGACCAAATACTTATTTTCCACCATAATTTGCAAATAAATTCCTTTAAAATCCTACAATGTGATTTTCTGGATTTTTTTTTCTCAATTTGTCTGTCATAGTTGACGTGTACCTATGATGCAAATTACAGGCCTCTCTCATCTTTTTAAGTGGGAGAACTTGCACAATTGGTGGCTGACTAAATACTTTTTTTCCCCACTGTACATGTTCTAGTTGAGCTGTCCATCATGGAGCCAATCTTTATTTCACATCAAACTCTCCTGTTCCTACCTGCCTCTTATGCTGTGCTGTATGAATCATCATGCTTTTTGAGAGTAATAATAATTCTGATTTCTCATAAGGCCTATGTACATAGTGGTGGGAACAAAAGGTCAGGACCAACAGAATTATCTCATTCGGAGGCAAATACAATTATGCAAATACAAATACACTCACACGGTTGCAGAAACACATATATTTTGTTTGTATATGTGGGCAAACCCGAGGTTAAGATCATAATCATAATTACAGGGTGGTTTTAGAGTGTTATCGGAGGTGAATTGGACCGGTGATTAACTAATGAAATGACTCTAGTTGATGACAGATAATCACACTGTTTATCCTCTGTCCTTCTCAAATCGTTCAGTCAGTCATTTGACAGTGGCTGCTGGCATGGAGGGTATGAGTTGGAATTGGCTCTACAGGGCAAATAGAAATGATAGGCATATTGAACTAAACCCATCTACCTTTCTGTTTTCCTACTGGTGTTGCAGGGGGCATTTGCATGTCAACCCTATTTTATTTGTTGATTGAGTCACTTTGATTGTGTCTCTTGACCTGCTGTTCTCTAGTATTGTATTCTCTCACTATGTCTAGACTGATATTCTGTACACAGAATCCTGGTAGAGAGGACAATGTCTCTGCCCAGTCTCTGTTCTGCTACAGTTACCACTGATCCTGAACTTGATCTCTCTTTTTGACTGGGTTCTCTAACTCTGTTCCCTTATAAAACTCTGTGTCGAGTGCTCCATTGTTAAACTGTGTCCCCCCCCCCAGACAGTGCAGTCTAGACTAACTGTACTCTGTTGTTAAACTGTGTCATCCCCCCTCCAGATAGTGCAGACGAGAGGTGCTTCAGGTTCTCTGACTGTGTCAGCTGCACTGCCAACACCAACGGCTGCCAGTGGTGTGAAGACAAGAAGTGCATCTCTGCCTCCAGCAACTGCACTGTGGTGAGTCTGCCTACAGGGGGTAGTAGTGAGACAGCACAATCACAGCTGGGATCTTATTAGCTACATTTGTCAATTAATTACGCAGCATGAATAGTCAGGCAGCTTTAAGCTTGCCTTCTCTTGAGTCACTACTTAACTCTAGTTGTTGTAGTGTACTAAGTCGCTATTATCGCACCTGCTTGGCTAACTGTGTCAGTTAGCCTAATGCTTGCCCCTGCTGTCTCCTCTGTGTGTGTCTATAGCTGACCCTAGAGCTAGCGCAGCAGCATAGAGGTCCTCTGTCCCTGGCCCCTCCCCCGTCCATGCTCTCTGAACAACAGCTCTCTGTGTGGAAGCAAGGGGCCAAGAGTATGGGACACGTGGGTATTCCATACTATTGCAGGGGCTTTTCCTTTAATGCCAAACCATACTTTTCTGTTCTGCCAATGCACACATTTCAGATTTACATGACCCCAATACTATGAAGTAAATTCACCATAATAATAACTATGTTGATGTTTGTTGGTTGTACTCTTTCTTCGCAGTCTGTGAAGAACTTCATCAAATGCCATGTGAGAAATGAACATATCTGCAGTAAGCTGGTTAACTGTAAGAGCTGCTCCCTCAACCTCAACTGTCAATGGGAGCTCCAGCAACAGGAGTGCCATGCCATCCCTGGTGAGAACTTCCAAAAACTCAAAACAAGCAAGAACTCTGCTTGGCTGACTACCTGTTTGACAGCTACAAGCAAGTTTGAATGCTTGGAGAACTTATGCTAATGTTTGATTCATTATTAACACTCTTGTAGCGTTTCCCCAGGGAAAACATGTTTTTCCCCTGTCTCTGAAGTGGATTTATTGCTCTCATTTTTCAAAGCTCCAGAAGGAGTTCAAGACAAAAACACTCACAAACAAACACATACCCAGACACACACGCACGTCTACACACCTCCAAATACAGTACATCCACAAATTTACATTTTTGTCATTTAGCAGACGCTCTTATCCAGAGCGACTTACAGTTAGTGAGTGCATACATTCTTTTTATTTTTTCATACTGGCCCCCCGTGGGAATCAAACCCACAACCCTGGCGTTGCAAGCGCCATGCTCTACCAACTGAGCTACACAGGGCCCAAATACACTCTCCTCTCCTGCGTGGGGACGGGATGTAGGCCAATTATAATTGTTTACTTGATGATATGAAAATGGAGCCTCAGCTGATTCACAAATGAGAGCCCAGTAACTACAGTGCCTTCAGAAAGTATACATACCCCTTGACTTTTTCCACATTTTGTTGTGTTACAAGTTGGGATTAAAATTGATTTAATTGTAATTTTTTGTCAACGATCTACACAAAATACTCTAATGTCAAAGTGGAAGAAATATTATAATATTTGTTAAAAAAAAAAAAGGAGAAAAAAAAGGAAAGAAAACGATTATATCTTGATTACATATGTATTCAACCCCTTGAGTCAATACATGTTAGAATCACATTTGGCAGTGATTACAGCTCTGAGTCTTTCTGGGTAAGTCTCTAAGATCTTTGCACACCTGGATTGTACAATATTTGCACATTATTCTTTTAAAAATGTTTTCAAGCTCTGTCAAGTTGGTTGTTTATTATTGCTAGACAGACATTTTCAATCTTGCCATAGATTTTCAAGCCGATTTAAGTCAAAACTGTAACTAGGTCACTCAGGAATGTTCAATGTCGTCTTGGTAAGCGACTTGGAAAGGTTATTGTCCTGCTGAATGGTGAATTTGTCTCCCAGTGTATATTGGAAAGCAGACATAACCAGGTTTTCTTCTACGGTTTTGCCTTTGCTTAGGTCTATTCGGTTTCTTTTTATTCTTAAAAACTCCCTAGTCCTTGCCGATGACAAGCATACCCATAACATGATGCAGCCAGCACAATGCTTGAAAATATGAAGAGTGGTAGTCAGTGATGTATTGTGTTGGATTTGCCCCAAACATAACGCTTTGTATTCAGGACATAAAGTTCATTTCTTTGCTACATTTTTTGCAGTTTTACTTTAGTGCCTTATTGCAAACAGGATGCATGGGGGGAAACTAACTCTAGATACCTCAAAATGACTAAAACCAAATCGAAACTGTGTAGAAATGATAATGGACCTATATTCATACAGCTTCTTGATTGTCCAGCTCGCTAATAATCACTGTGCACAGTCAATAGACCTATATTCATACAGCTTCTTGACTGTCCAGCTCGCTAATAATCACTAGACAGTCAGGGAGCATCGGAAATTTTAAAAACCATGGATCGAGGACTATTTCTTTCTTCCAATTTTGACGGCAAGGAAATATAACACATTTTCAGTGCGGCCCTCAAGACCGAATGTGGCTCCTGGGGCAAAATAAGTTTGACACCCCAGTTCTAAAGACTGTAACTCTAGCCATGTGTTTGTTAGTGTTCATGTCAGTACTGCTCTCTGGTTGGACATCTTTTCAACAGCCTTTTATGGTTGAAAAAAGGGTTTATTTCTTAGTCTGATGAAAATAATGTGATGGTGGTAACCATTATCCAACTATGATTGTAATCAGCGCAAGTCTCCAAAATAAGCAGAGACATTCCTGAGATGAAACCGGAGTTGTTTCTCCTTTAATCTCTGCAAATTGTTGCTTATTAACGAAGGTCTCGTCCCTCATCCATTTCTCCCACTGTTTGATGTGTCTGTCAGTCAGAGCACAACTGTATACTTGTGCTTGACAAACACATACTTGTGTATTCAATCAGGGTGGTCGATGCAAGCCTCTTTGAAGCATAATCCATCATTCTCAATCTACATCTCAACTGATTGACTGACTGTTCTTAAATTCACACCATGAGGTCAGGGCTGGTCCTAGCTTTTTGGAGGCCGTAAGTGAGATTTGGTTTGGTGGCCCTCCACCTCACGGTCAAAACATTTTAGTGGTCCCCCTCTTGATGGTGGAGAGAAAAAAACAATTCTACACATTTTGTCATGGGGTGTAGAGAAAATGTTGTGGTTTTAAAGCACATTTTCTGCAATTCTACTAATTTTTCCATTGGGCAAAGAGAAAAATATGTGCAGTTTTAAAGAGAATTTCCTGCAATTCTACACATTTTGCAATGAATTATGCCATGTTCATATGATATCTGAGTGAGAGTGACTAACACAATCAACGGGGGTCCCCTGAGAAAAACTGCTGATGCACTACCACATTTCTTGTTAGTTAGAATGTGTATTCTACTATTCTAACTCTCAACAGTAAGTTGAGACCCCGACTGAGTTCCTAAAAATAAAAACAATTATAAGATATTGGTCAATCAACTTTGCTTTTACATTAGTGATATACTAGCTTAATTAATGTGTGTGTAGTGAGATGTATATCAAATGTAGTTGAGATCCTTGAGGGGTATTGAGTCCTCCAGTTGTGTGAAGTCTGTGCACCATCCAATTGTGTGGCCCAACACAGTCAGAAGCCTGGGTCTAAATTACTGCTCTCTCCCTGTCTACAGCTCAGCTCTGTGGGGAAGGCTGGCACCACGTTGGGGAGGCTTGCCTCAGGATCAACTCCAGCAGGGAGAGCTATGACAACGCCCAGCACTACTGTAAGAACCTGGAAGGGAACATAGCCTCCCTCACCACCGCCAAGCAGGTGGACTTTGTACTGGACGAGTTGCAGAAGTACCAGCTACAAGAGAAGGTAAGGGAAACGCCTGTTTAAAATAGTGTGTTGTTTTAAACATAGTACTTTATCAAGGACTATCATGTGGAATGTACTTTTCCAAGTCGAAGGCCTGCGGAACGGCCATGACAGACCTCATGAAACTTACCCCATGATAATGTGAAACCGAACATGTTGAACACATGTTGAAGTCTTAGCTTATTTACTGATGAATCAGCCCACGTGATCCAATGTTTACATATCAATCTAAACTAGATTTCCCTGATCCCAACCAAACTTGTATTTGTTTTCTCAAGAGTCATACTCCCTGTTTATATCCCCACCACACATGTTGACTTTTCCAGTGATTGCGCTGTCAGGAGGATATGCAGGAGCAAATATTTGACTGGTGTTTGACTGGTGCTATTGATTAAAGAATAGAGCAAGAGGACCTCTTGCTATGATTTTTGGGGTGGAGTGTTTAAGCAGCTTCTGTCTGCTCTTTGAATATTAACACTATTCTTAATAACAAAGCTCACCTTCGTTGTTTTAGGATGCAGAGGAAATAGTTTTCCCTCCTCTTTTCTGACAGTTATTTGGAAGGAGCTGATGCTCTCCATGGCCTGTAATAGGAATTTTGAATTAAAGTACATTTTAGCGTACTGCAACACGTTTTTCAGGATTTGACTCACGGCAATCTCCTTCGATTACTCAAATGTTATGCCCTCATACATTTTTACTGTGTGATAGATCATAGCCGGTGTTAGCTGGCTAATTAACAATTTATTACAGGTAAAACTTTTGAGACATTATTGCCCATTTAAGAAATAACTCAAACTCACAGACATTTTTAAAAGTCAAAATAAATACCTTAGTTTAATGACTCTGGCCTGTCTTGGTTTTATGGGTTGGTGTTGGCTGTAAGTCTGAGGTCGGGAACTTTCACTGTAATTATAGCAATTTTCCCAACGGTTTGATTTAAGATTTCACATAAACATGGCACGAATCAAATATGTATGATTTATGTTGAGAAATTAATAACATGTTTTCATACTCTGACTGGCCCTCAACATACTATGGAGAATAGAGAGAATTCTTAGCTTAGATTTCAGGCTCTCCATCCTGAACCTTCCTCTCTCCCTTTTCTCTCTGTCTCTCATATTCTTCCTTCTTTCACCTTTCTCTTCCCCTCTTTCTCCATCCCTTTTCTCCTCCCTCTCTCTCCTACCTCTTTCTCTCCCCTCTCTGTCCTGTAGAAGTTAGCTCCGTGGGTGGGTCTAAGGAAGATCAACATCTCGTACTGGGGCTGGGAGGACATGTCTCCCTTCACCAACTCCTCCCTGCAGTGGCTGCCCGGGGAGCCCAGCGACTCAGGCTTCTGTGCCTACCTGGAGAAGGTAGAGGTGGCAGGGCTCAAGGCCAATCCCTGCACCGCCACCACTGATGGACTCATCTGTGAAAAACCAGTCGGTGAGAGAGGGACTGGGAGAAAGAGGGAGAGGGAGGGAAAAAGGGAGGGGAAAAGGGAGGGAGGGAAAGGGAAGGAGAGCTGAAGAAGAATGGAGGTGATGGTGATTGAATAATAGAGACTAAATAGAGACTAATTCTCAAAGGCACCTGTAACCCTTGTGAATTCCAAGAGGCCTCCCTTGAACATGTGTATGTAATTATTCGAAAGCTCAATCAGGCACTATTGAATTAGAGATCAGTTGGAGTGGAAAATAAAAGTTTACAACCAGAAAACCCTCTGGGCTGTCATCATCAGTGACAATGAGCAGAATTCTCTAGTCTAGTGAATTTAAAAGGGGACAGAGTGTTAGTGGAGAGATATTGTTTTAGGAAGAGCATCCTTATGACTGGAGAAGATCACAGCCTGGAGTGTTTGACAGTAGCTGACCTTCCTTCCCATCATGGCCCCTCAGTGACCGACCATCCCACTCACACAAACACATACACACACAAGGAAACAGAAAACACGAGCAGGCCCGCCTGACTCACTGTCTTATTCTGTCTGCGTTTAGCTCCACTGAACCATGCTTGGACACATTTAGGAGCCCAAAATAGCTGGGGAGCCCAAAAAAATGAGGCCTCAAATGTGCGGCTTTGGCCGCCGTACTTCCCATAGCTCGACTTTGCACTGACAGAGAGGGGAAATGGGTAACCAAAGACACCCTGTTGTTTCTTATTACTTTTCTGTTTCCTCCACCGCTGCGGGGCTGTCTCCCACTCCGATACAACCTGCCTGCCTAACTCAGATCAAATGATGGGGTTGGACTGAGGGAGGAAATTACTATTGTTTACCATCTGCTCTTGGGTTAAATTACTCATTTAATGTAATAAATGGTACATGAATGGTTATGTGTATACCTGCTGTAAAAACATTCTGTCCAAGGTAGAGATAAAATGTCTATGTTTTAGAGGCAGTGCAAATGTACATGAACTCCCACAGAATATTTTTAGCACTACTTTCAGGCTGTGCACTGGGCACAGACATTATTTAAATATGATCTTATTTTCTCCTTTCCACAGTGAGCCCCAACCAGAGTGCCCACCCGTGTAAGACGCCCTGCTCCCTGCGCACCATCTGTGCCAACTGCACCAGTAAGGCCATGGAGTGTATGTGGTGCAGCAGCACCCAGCGATGTGTGGACTCCAACGCATATGTAATCTCCTTCCCCTACGGACAGTGTCTGGAGTGGCAGACTGGAGACTGCGTCTGTGAGTATACAGGTCAAAATGTCCAGCTTCCACTGTGTGTATGTGTGTGTATCTTCAACACAACCTCCAAAGGAATACGGGCAAATAGATTATTGCAAACTGTCACTCGGTTCAAATACAACTGCTTGTCATCATACCACTACTATTGACACTAATGCAAGTGAAGTCAAGTGGTACAAGCACAATCAATGCCTCATGCATGACAGCATTGTTGACAATTTCGATACCCTTTGGAAACAAAACACGTTTTATAAGGAGGATGGGATCCACCCAAATCATTTGGGTTCCTGGATCCTTTCACAGCATTATAAGGCTGCATTGAGACAATGACTTATCAATGATCCAAGCCCAGCTACCATTGTGACGCTGAGTTGTCATAATGCTTTAGCAAATGTACATTATACCAGGGGCGTTGGTAGATACAATGTAAGTAACCTAATTTATGTCCCTCTAACTGCCCTGAATGCCTCTGCTGATCCTACAGCTATTGTATGCAGTAATCATGTGCCTATATACCAGATTTATAATGTTAGCACTGAGGCGGTGTGCCCTAGTAGGAAGTCCACTGTGTGAAGCTCACCCTGCACTAGCATATATAACATGAGCATATCTACTTCTGCTAAGCTTCCCAGTAAAGCAATGAAAACAAGTAAGCATCCCAGAACAAAAGTGCCCAAAATAGCCCACGTTAACATATGTAGCTTAAGAAACAAGGTTCATGAAATCAATAATTTGCTAGTAACAGATGACATTCATAGTCTGACTATCTCTGAAACTCACTTAGATAATACCTTTGATGATACAGTAGTAGGAATACAAGGTTATAACGTTTACAGAAAATACAGAAATGCCAATGGTGGAGGTGTTGCTGTTTATATTCAGAACCACATTCCTGTAAAGCTTAGAGAGGATCTTATGTTAAATACTGTTGACGTAATATGGCTACAGGTTCATCTGCCTCACCTAAAGCCCATTCTTGTGGGAAGCTGCTATAGACCACCAAGTGCTAACAATCAGTATTTGGATAACGTGTGAAATGCTTGATAATGTATGTGATATCAACAGAGAGGTATATTTTCTGAGTGATTTAAATATTGACTGGCTTTCATAAAGCTGCCCACTCAAGAAAAAGCTTCAAACTGTAACCAGTGCATGCAACCTGGTTCAGGTTATCAGTCAACATTTACATTTTAGTCATTTAGCAGACATTCTTATCCAGAGCGACTTACAGTTAGTGAGCGCATACATTTTCATACTGGCCCCCTGTGGGAATCGAACCCACAACCCTGGCGTTGCAAGCGCCATGCTCTACCAACTGAGCTACACGGGGCCCAGTCAACTGACCAGGGTAGTTACAAACAGCACAGGAATTAAATAATCAACACGTATTGATCACAACTTTACTAATGCTGCAGAAATTAGCTCCATCGGATGTAGTGATCAAAAGATAGTAGCCATATCTAGGAAAACCAAAGTTCCAAAGGCTGGGCCTAATATAGTTTATAAGAGGTCATACAATAAGTTTTGTAGTGATTCCTATGTTGTTGATGTAAAGAATATTTGTTGGTCCGTGGTGTGTAATGAGGAGCAAACAGACGCTGCACTTGACACGTTTATGAAATTGCTTATTCCAGTTACTAATAAGCATGCACCCATTTAAGAAAATGACTGTAAAAGCTGTTAAATCCCAGTGGATTGATGAGGAATTGAAAAAGTGTATGGTTGAGAGGGATGAGGCAAAAGGAATGGCAAATAAGTCTGGCTGCACAACTGATTGGCAACGTATTGCAAATTGAGAAATCATGTGACTAAACTGAATAAAAAGAAGAAGAAACTACACTATGAAACAAAGATAAATGAATGATAGTAAAAAGCTTTGGAGCACCTTAAATTAATTATTTTTGGAAAAAAGGCAAACTCCGCTCCATCATTCATTGAATCAGATGGCTCATTCATCACAAAACCGACTGACATTGCCAACTACTTTAATGTTTTTTTCATTGGCAAGATTATAAAATTTAGGCATGACATGCCAGCAACAAACGCTGACACTACACATCCAAGTATATCTGACCAAATTATGAAAGACAAGCGTTGTGATTTAGAATTCCGTAAAGTGAGTGTGGAAGAGGTGAAAAAATGATTGCTGTCTATCAACAATGACAAGCCACCGGGGTCTGACAACTTGGATGGAAAATTACTGAGGATAATAGCGATGATATTACCAGTCCTATTTGCCATATTTTCAATTTATGCCTACTAGAAAGTGTGTGCCCCCAGGCCTGGAGGGAAGCAAAAGTAATTCCGCTACCTAAGAATAGTAAAGCCCTCAAATAGCCTACCAATCAGCCTGTTACCAACCCTTAGTAAACTTTTGGGAAAAATGGGGTTGACCAGATACAATGCTATTTTACAGTAAACAAATTGACAACAGACTTTCAGCACGCTTATAGGGAAGGACATTCAACAAGCACAGCACTTACACAAATGGCTGATGATTGGCTGAGAGAAATTGATGATAAAAATATTGTGGCGGCTGTTTTGTTAGACTTCAGTGCTGCTTTTGACATTATCGATCATAGTCTGCTGCTGGAAAAACGTATGTGTTAGGGCTTTACACCCCCTGCTATATTGTGGATAAAGAGTTACCTGTCTAACAGCACACAGACGGTGTTCTTTAATGGAAGCCTCTCCAACATAATCCAGGTAGAATTAGGAATTCCCCAGGGCAGCTGTCTAGGCCCCTTGCTTTTTTCAATCTTTACTAACGACATGCCACTGGCTTTGAGTAAAGCCAGTGTGTCTATGTATGCGGATGACTCAACACTATACACGTCAGCTACTACATCGACTGAAATGACTGCAACACTTAACAAAGAGCTGCAGTTAGTTTCAGAGTGGGTGGCAAGGAATAAGTTAGTCCTAAATATTTATAAACCTAAAATCATTGTATTTGGGACAAATCATTCACTAAACCCTAAATCTTGTAATAAATAATGTGGAAATTGAGCAAGTTGAGGTGACTAAACTGCTTGGAGTAACCCGGGATTGTAAACTGTCATGGTCAAAACATATTGATACAACAGTAGCTAAAATGGGGAGAAGTCTGTCCATAATAAAGCGCTGCTCTACCTTCTTAACAGCACTATCAACAAGGCATGTCCTATAGGCCCTAGTTTTCTCGCACTTGGACTACTGTTCAGTCGTGTGGTCAGGTACCACAAAAAGGGACTCAGAACAGGGCAGCACGGCTGGCCCTTGGATGTACACAGAGAGCTAACATGGCTCAAAGTGGATAGAGATTGACTTCATCACTACTTGTATTTATGAGAGGTATTGACATGTTGAATGCACTGAGCTGTCTGTTTGAAATACACCTATGCATACCCCACAAGATATGCCACAAGAGGTCTCTTCACAGTCCCCAAGTCCAGAACAGACTATGGGAGGTGCAGAGTACTACATAGAGCCATGACTACATGGAACTCTATTCCACATCAAGTAACTGATGCAAGCAGTAAAATTTGATTAAAAAAAACAGATAAAAATACACCTTATGGAACAGCGGGGACTGTGAAGCAACACATACATAGGCACAGACACATGCATACACACACACGATAACATACGCACTATACACACATGTACACATGGATTTTGTATTGTAGATATGTGGTAGTGGTGGAGTAGGGGCGTGAGGGCACACAGTGTGTTGTGAAATCTGTGAATGTATTGTTATGTTTTTAAAATTGTCTTAATTTTGCTGGACCCTAGGAAGAGGCAGCAGCTAATGGGGATCCATAATAAAGACAAATACAAATACTCTGGTCAACAA